TTTGGATGCTCCAGCCAGAGGCTCAGGTTTCTTTACATCCTGTTTCTTCTTTCTTTGTAAACTTCACACACCAAACATAAAAGTTGCATTTTATTTGACCTTTCTCTCCTCCTTTCCCACATCCCTGTTTCTCTGTTTGGAAAATGTTTTCTTCACTTGACAGGCCAAATACAATTCTTTCAGCTTCAAGAGGGACCAGACTGCATATGTCTGCTGAGGCAAAAAATGTATTTAACAGAGCACAGCTGGAACCCAGATAACTGAAATCAGTTACCCGGACAATTGCTCCACTTGATCAGTGATCTTTCCCTCTGATGGCCTCTCCCGTTTACATCGCTGAAGATTGGGCAATTACATTCTTGAAGCAGTTCAGGATTTTAGCCCACATTTCTTTGTTTTTACACTAAATTTCTTGGTAAATATGCACTAACCGCTAGCTAGATGTCCCTTTCAAGCTTTTTTCCCCAGTAATTTCCTTTTATTTTGGGACTGATTTTACTTTATTTTCTAAATCCACTGAATGTATAGCTAGGCATAGGTTGCAGCAATGTAACCACAGCCCTAAACAAGAAAGAAATTTCATTCTTCACATAGTGTTCGACTAACAGATGTGATCACCAGATACTTTGTCCTAATTTGTGCATGTACTCTTTCTGCATACCTTTGAGATGATTGTTTCCATTAGTCACTACTCTTCAGGGCACTTACTGTAGAATGTAGCTGTATGTATGGATGTAGCTTATATTGTAAAGTTTATAGAGCTGCTACTACTTTACCTGTTCATGCCTCCATTTATAAAGTCTTCCTGTAAAAAGAATCATAGAATCATAGAATCACTAGGTTGGAAAAGACCTTAGAGATCATCCAGTCCAACCGTATCTGTCCACCACTAAACCATATCTCTCAGTACCTCATCCACCCGTCTCTTAAACACATCCAGGGATGGTGACTCCACCACCTCCCTGGGCAGCCTGTTCCAGTGTGTGATAACCCTTTCAGTGAAGAACTTCTTCCTTACGTCCAAATATGTCTGATTAGTGCAGATCGAACTTGCATGGCATAAAACCCAGTCACCCCTTCTAGCTGTCAGTCCTATAGGTACAGAGTGTGTAGAAACGTCCGTTGCATGGACAGTGCCATGCCCTGCAAAGCGAAGCTGCACGAGGAGGTCCCAGCCGTGCACCTGTGCATCTGGCACCCATGCCCAACAAAAGCACATTTCCAACATAAATGTTATCATGTCAGAAGTCTCCAGCCAACCAACAAATATGGAGATGTTCCCAAATTTTAGCGCATGCCCTACAGGAGATTTGCAGGCTCTGACCCTAGATCACTTCAGTCTAAGTCTAATTAATTTTTCGTAGTATTTTGTAAATTATGGCAGAGATTGACTTTTAAGGATGATGTGCCAGACCATATTTTTCTTTCTCAAATTAGAGATTAAGCCTGACAGTAGAAATTCAGCGAAAGCCGAGACACATGGCGCCTCAGAGACAAGGTGCTGATGACCAGCTGGTGGTTGATGCCCTGTCTCGGTGGCAGCAGCAGCAGGAGTTGAGTATGGGTGCTTCTCACAGCCCTACCTGAAATGCTGTAGCGTCAAGCCCTGCGGCACCCACAATCTGACAGAGATAAATGACGGCTCAGTATGTTTATACTGTACTTACTACATCCGTACCACAGCAATGATGTTAGAAAGACTTACTCAGTTTTGGTCATAAAAAGAATGCTTAACTGTGTTTATATCTACTTTTTCATGATTTCTCATGTGTAAGAGAATAATGGCAGTATCAAGTAAGATAACTGTCATTAATTTCACTAGGTCTTTGCAGGAATGAACAAGCTGCAGAATTCAACGTTTGTATAAAAGTCAGTGTAAAGTTTATTAAAAATATAAAAAATAAACCAAAGCAGGATTACACTTATTCTATTTAATTTGTAACAGAAAAAACTGTGGCAGAGGCATTAACTGTAAATGCTTTGAACTTGATGTGAGAATAAGCATTGTCCTTACCAAAGCTACTAGGTAGCATGTTTCTCTTGGTCATTTTTTATTTTTCAGATGCTTAAAGCATAATTTTCTTACCTCTTAAAGCACTGAAATGGTTTTCACTAGTACTCTTTTGTTTGCCGGTCACAGAAAGATAAAGAAAATCTCAAGATATTTGAGACAAAATCATACCTGTTCTTTTTTATGTTCTGTCTCCTTCTACCCCAAGTCTTTTAGAGATCTAGAGCCACTCATGTCTCACTGAGGTCTCAACTGAAGCTTTTTGGTTAACTTTACACCTCTGTGAGATGCAGCCGTTGTACAGCAGCCCACTTCTTGTGCAATGCTGACTTAGCCCTTTTCCTCACCTTCCCATATGTCCTGTCTGTTTTCAACTTAGAGAAAGAGCAAGTGATTACCTTTAGGAGAAGTAAGTGTCATCCAGAAGATAGAAGGAAAGAGGTAGAATTTCCTTGCAGAGTGAAGGGTTATACTAACGTCCTAATTTACTTTATATATTATTTAAAGTGCTTTTAGGTAACTTCAGAACAGAGCTGGGCAAAGAGGATCCATATTGCTATCTCATGACTCTCCTGGATGCATAGTGCCTCCAGAAGAAGGTAGAAGATCCAGGCAGAACAACTCTCCACCAGTTCCCTCAGCAAGAATAGAGCACAAGACTCAGATCTCTCCGTTTCCAGTTTAGGCAGAGGACACCTGGTGCCTGTATGCCTGAACTGCAGCAGAGTTAGAGGTGACACGGAAGTGCTTGACCTTGCAAGAGATATCTTTCCAAAGGAGATAACATGGGGAAAGAGATCGTTGCTACTAGGCATCTAGAATGTGGCCTATGTGAATTTGGAGCACACGGAATATACTAGTAGAGGGGTAACCTTTCAGAGAAGCTGAGAAGGTATCTACAGGTTTAAGCAGCCCTGAAAACTAGGTGTACATAACCGTGATCTGAGAATAAGACTGGAGTTAGGGCACCAAAGTTTGGATGTAGGCACACTGAATCTCACAGCAGATTTCTGATACTTGTGAACATACATTTCTTTTTTTCATTATTCCTCTGGATTTTCAGGTATGCAGTTCTAGCATACAGGTTTCTTCTTCATCTGTTTAGGGTTTGAATGCTGTACTTAGGGGCTGTTTGAAGGATAATTTTATTTTGAGGGCTTCCCTAGGTTGTTATCAGTCAAGATTTATCAAGTCAAGAAAAGGCTGCAGACCAAAATGAGAGTAAAATAACACAATTGTTGTAATGCCCAATGATATACCTCCTGGAAAAGAGTGAGGAAAAAATATGAGAAAATTCATTAAATAATTGAAAGGACACAAAAAATGAATTCAATTAAATGATGGAGAAACTTTGCATATGCTGTTCTCTTTCATTATTTCCCCTGTGCCAATTATTTTTTCCCGAAAAGGCTTATCCTATCCTCCTCCTTCACCTTCCTCAAAGCTCCCTTTAATACTTCAAGAAGACAGTTGTGTACAGTTACACAGTCTGCAGCAGAACTTGGAACAGTAACCTGCCATCCTACCACCTAGGCTACAGTGAAAAGCTACTAGATCATGTTATTTCTTCATCCTACTCGTATTGTGTTGTGTATCTTCTCTGTAATAGACATGTCTAAAATACTGAAGACTTATTTGCTAAGAAAAGGATTATTGTTTTTTAATATTTTTCTGGGAAAAGTTTCCTTTTTTGGATGGCTGCACTTGATGATTGTAGTCCAGGTTTTTCAGAGAAACATTTTCAATAATTAAACATTATGCTTAAATTAGAGGACTTTAGTAGGAAGTTGGGTCTTTACTTAAATAAATGCTTTTAATTGAAGATAAAACGTTCCTCAGAAACCTGTTCCACATTGCAGAGATTATTTGAGTATTAGCTCTAAAATTGATTTGCACACTTAGAAATTGTAAAAAAAAAAAAGTTTCCCTTTGTATCTGAAGGGGAAATACAAATGTGAGTGTATGCAATGGGAAGTATTTGATGTTACTCTCTTTCCAAGGCTATGAAACCTCCAATGTTGAAGCAATAGGGAATTGTTCACTAAGTTTCCAAATTCCCGTCACTGCTAAAGCTTGCTCAGAATAAGACTATAGTTTTTCCATTGTTACCTTAGACTGAATATGTATTTTCTCTTAACTGTGGTAGTGTGACTACATGAAAGATGTGATGTTGAAACAGGGGATAGTTTGTTGTATACAATTACCTATGAAATAGTGAGCACTGTCTGATATTATTTTTATTTTTACAGTAAAACCAGCTAGGACTGCATTTGCTATCAAACTGTTTTGTGCAATGTCACTAAAACGCTTAGTATTTTGGCAACATGGAAGACAGGAGATAACTGAGTCTGCATCCATAACCGTAACAAATAGGAATTATAAGAGATATCCCTCATCAAGGCAAGGTCATTTCTGTGGGAGGGACTTTTCCTGGGCTTCAACAAAAAGCCAACACATAGCTAGTGGCTTTTTAAGAAACAATTTAGAAAAGGGCAATTTAGCCAGCTCAGTAGGTGATACTCACAAAGTTAAATTTATAGAAGTTAGTCATTTGGATGTTAGAGGTAGCTCATGTACCCTTCTCTCAGCATTCAGTTCCATGTTTGAACGTATCAATTAAAAAGGGTGGAAGTTCAGAGTGGGGACATGTAAATTCAAAGGGGACTATTTACAAGGTAACTGTTTTTAAAATAAAAATCTTGTAATAAGTGCATTGCGTCTTTAGAAAATGGGAGCGTTGTTCCCAGGTTTATAGTTCTACAAGATATATCTGACTTTTATATTAGTTGTCTATACAAAAAGAATTTGGAAGAAAGAATAAAATGAAATCACTACTGGTAAGTACTTGGGTTTTTTTCAGACTGCAAACTCATTTGGTGCCAGGTGGTGAAGATACACTTTGTCTCTGATACTGTTTTTACTACAGGATTGGATTACAGATTTATTTTCAGTGACCTATCAAAATTAACAGGCTCCTTACTGTTCACAGTTTATCAGGATGCCCCAGAGCTACTTCAGCAATGAAGAAAGCAAAGCTGTCTGGAGAACAAATGCTAACAATAAAGCAGCGGGCCAGTAATGGTAAATTTTTAATCACTACCTTTTTAAATATTAGCTCTTTGTAAACTAAGTTGCCAT